ATAATTGTTAACACCTAACACTTCTGTTAACGTCTACAATATTTGTTAACCGCTAACACGACGTCGAATCTAAAACCCAGAAAATTGATATCATCAAAAAATTGAGGATTCAAAGCCACTTATGAAAAAAATAATGAAATTTAAAATTTAATTGTATATAGAATGATAGAGATTTGTAAAATAATTAGGGATTGGAGAGCAAAAAAAATGGTCAAAATTGAGGATTCAAAGCCACTTATGAAAAAATAATGAAATTTAAAATTTAATTGTATATAGAATGAAAGAGATTTGTAAAATAATTAGGGATTGAAGAGAAAAAAAAAGGGGAGATGTCAAAGAGAGAGAGAGAGTGTGTAGAAAATGGCAAAATGGTCCAAAGGAAAATGGTTGTCACATCATGGGCAATTCTCTAATTATAGGTGACAAATAGGGCACTTTAGCCAATTATCTCTTGAAAGTTCTCTATTTTTTTTTTTAATATGAATTTGTGATACCAAATCGTTTCGGTTAGACAAGAGCCATGTTCGTTAACCTGCTGCGGCAACGACGGCGATCAAAAATATAAAGGAAATTTAGTGACAGCTCAGCAATTAGAGAGTTAGAAGATGCAATCATTGAACGCAGTGACACATCAACGTATGAGTGGGAGACACAATTATTTGCAGGGCGATGAAAATACAGCGGCCATGACCAATGACAGTCGCCGGCGACAACTATATAACAACACACCGATAAGATTTCGCTCACATGTTTGTTAATTTTTGATCGCTGCGTCAGAGAAACGAAGGTTGAACCGTGATCCAAACCCTTATTCATGTTCGGTCTTTTTTTGTCGGCTCCCAGTTCGGTTCCAAATTTTTTTTGTTATTTAATGTTTATATTGATAGATCTAAAGTTCAAACCAGAAATCACCGTTAACAATCAAATCAGGTAAACTCTACAAACTATACAAACTCACCAACATTGAGTTGGCCTAGTAGTAAAGGGGTTCTGCTAGCATAGTGGTAAAGGGTTGTGGCTGTAATTTCCGCCACTTAAGTTCAATTCACGGTGAAATAGACTATTTACAATGCTTGGATTCCAGGCAAAGAGGTGAAACCACCTTTTTATTTTACCAAAAAAACTCTATAAACTCTACAAATAATGATTTCTAATTCCACGCAATACGCAATGACCATTAATTACAGAAAATCATAACTAAATATCTATACTATTAAAAGTGAAGGCACCCTTGAAAAATCGTCTGATAGAAGTTGTGTGCACATTTCATTAATGGCATTTTGGTAATTTATTTTCGTCTTCTATCTATATATATATGGATTTGTTAGAAATCATATCACATATTGCATATACCCGAATTATTCTCTCTCTTCCAATTAATTACTCTAACAATTAAATATTTTCTCTCGTCCCATTAATTATTCTAACCATATTTTATATTATATTTCATACATTTATTGATTTCCAACATTAGATTACACGATTTGGTATATACATCATATATGGACTTTATAACCACATTTCATATTATATTTGATACATTTATATTGTATTATACACCTTATATTACATAATTTCAATCTATAGATTTTCAGCATTATACTTTTATGGTTGACTTTTTGGTATATAAATCATATATGGACTTTATAATCACATTACAAATTATATTTCATACATTTATATTGTGTTATACACTTTATATTACATGATTTCAATCTATATATTTTCAACATTATACTTTATTGGTTAACATTCTAGGTATATGCATCATACATGGACTTTATAAACCTTCATTTCATTTATATTGTGTTATAGACCTTCATTTCATGATTTATCTTCATATATGAAATATGTTTTGATGTCTCACTAAATTTACATGTATTTATATACCATACTATATTTTATACAATTATATTGTGTTAAGACCTTATATTACATGATTTCAATCTATATATGTCCAACACTATACTTTTTTGATTGACATTTTTTGGTATATGCATCATACATGGACTATATAAACCTTCATTTCATTTATATTATGTTATAAACCTTCATTTCATGATCTATTTTCATATATGAAATATGTTTTCATGTCTCACTAAATTTATCTATATTTATAAACCATACTATATTTCATACATTTATATTGTGTTATAGATCTTATATTACACGATTTCAACCTATAGATTTCCAACACTTTTTTGTTGACATTTTTTGGTATATGCATTATACATGGACTTTATAAACTTTCATTTAATTTATATTGTGTTATAGACCTTCATTTCATGTTTTTCTTCATATATGAAATATGTTTTCATGTCTCACTAAATTTATCTGTATTTATAAACCATAGTTAGACGACATATAGTGATATCAACCAAAAAAAAATATATCATCACTCTCATGTTGACATTTAATGGACGAGATACGTTTTGTTAAGAAAATATTGCAAATACGGTTTTCTATAATTATCTTCTTACTAAAATAAAGAAATTGATTTACCTACAAGTTATAGATTAACCACAATCAATATCGTAGATTCCATAAATTTCGGTAACTTACCGTAGCTGGATTACCACTAACTGTTAAATTCTAAACTTCCTAACTATTCAAAATTTTCAAGAAATATTCTTTATTCCTCGAAAGAGATATTTTAAAAAAATCGTATGTAATATTCTCCCCTATATTCGCGTAACCTAATTGTATATCGTCCCTACCTATTATAAATATAGCCTCTCTTAACCATTATAATTATCATCCCTTCAAAACCCTAAAACAAAAATGGCGAATAATTTGCAGGTGTCTTTCTTGAGCAATATAAAACCGAGGAAGACTGTTGTCGCATCCAAGTCAAAATCCTTTATACGTGGAGACATTTCATGAAAGACTAAGGGAGTCCATGAAACTAATCCTTTGTATTAGTCCATGTAAATTTATCATTTTGTGTAGAATTTTGATTTAGATATCTTAATTTCGTTAAAGTTTAACCTAAATGATAATGTTTTATGTTTATATAGAGAAGTAAGATCCATGCCTCGTGTAACAAGACATACATTCCTCGATTGGCAAAAGAAATTAGTCAAATGCTTATGATTTATTTTTGGTTATAAGTGAGGTCCAAATCTCAAATGCTTATGACGTAAGTCAGATGTTTGTTAATCTTAAAATACCAGAGACATATGAATTTAAACAACGACATTTATCTTTTTCAATGTTTTCACTTTATAATAGTATAAACTAAATTATAAAACTTATTTATAATCGCAGAGGTAATGATGATTCTCGAGCGTTAACCCTGCCTGAATCAAAATCGCAGAGGTAATGTTGATTCTCCATCGATCCATTTTAAGATTATGTTTGTCTAGAAATAATGTTTTTAGTTATGTTTTTGACAATCGTGTAATGATGATTCTCGAGCGTTAATCCTGGCTGAATCAAAATCGCAATTTGTTTTCACCCAATAATTTTTATTTTAAATAATATTTGCTTTTTCTTGACGATTTATTGACTGATTTATTTATATGAAAATACATAGTGTTGTATAAAACAGATCAATATACTATGATATAATAAACGAAAATTGATTTATACTATATTTTCTGCATATTGAAACAGAAAATGAGATACTTGGAGTAACAAATCTCATTTGTTACTCCAGAATATTGCAATATTTAAATTATACCTTATATACTTGGAGTTATCTTTGACTCTCATAAAAAAATTATTTTTGAGTTACCTTTGACTCTCATAAATTAATTTAATATTTTATTTTATGGTCAACAAAAAAATACCCGCCCTTCCTAAGCGCGGATCAAAATTGAATATTATTTTTATTGTTCAAAAATCATAGATGTAATTATTTTAACTAACATAAATAAACTATATAAGAAGCGCGGGTCAAAATTGAATATTATTTTTACTGTTCAAAAATCATAGATGTAATTATTTTAATCAACATAAATCAATTATATAAGAAGCGCGGGTCAAAATTGAATATTATTTTTACTGTTCAAAAATCATAAAATGTAATTATTTTAACTAACATAAAGAAACTACCCGCCCTTCTTAAGTGCGGGTCAAAATTGAATATTATTTTTATTGTTCAAAATTCATAGATGTAATTATTTTAACTAACATAAATAAACTATATAAGAAGCGCGGGTCAAAATTGAATATTATTTTTACTGTTCAAAAATCATAGATGTAATTATTTTAACTAACATAAATAAGTTATATAAGAAGCGCGGGTCAAAATTGAATATTATTTTTATTGTTCAAAAATCAAAAATTTAATTATTTTA